CCTTCTGTCCTGGTCCAGCCCTGGGCTATTGCAGGAATTTGAGGGTATGAACCAGTTGGAAGATTTCTGTCTGTGTTCCTTTCACTGTCTCTTTCCCTTTAAAATAAAAATAAATAAATAAAATGAAACTAAAAAAAAAACTAAAAAGAAGAAAGGAAGAGAATGGATCTGTCTTCACAGGAGAAAGCTATTACGTACAATTGTCATAAAATTTGTTGAGGGTGACAATGTTCATCATATTTTACTCTTTGAGAATGATGAATTTTGTATATCCTTAGGTCTGGAGAAAATGATGTTGAATATAACACCATGGAGTTGGAAGAGGGAGAACTCATGGAAGATGCAGCTGCCGCAGGACCTCCAGGTACAGAAGCCAAGCCCCACAAGCCATTCTGTCTTCTCTGACCATATCATATATATATTTTTTGGTTAATAAGATGTTTATTTAGGATGGCAACACAAGATAATTGATGCAAGAGCTCACTTAAAATTATTTTTCCACCCAAAAGTGACATGAGAAACTATTTGAATCTGAACATGGACATGGTTGTAGTACTCTTCTGGAACTGTAAATTAAAATGACAGGTAACTACTTGTGTCCCATTCCTCAAATAAGTAGAGTCCAATACCCAAAATAATCCTTCCATCCCACACTCGGACCCCCCTCATATCGTATTTTAGTAGGCACTATCCCTTACACTGCATGGTTCTTGCTATTGGAAGTGCTATATCTTATACTGTAGATTCGAAGTGTGTTACTATTGATATTTAAAATAGTAATAGTAGGGGTCAGGACCATGGCGCAGTAGGTTAATCCTCTGTCTGCGGCGCTAGCATCCCATATGGGTGCCGGTTGTAGTCCCGGCAGCTCTTTTTCCAATCCAGCTCTCTGCTGTGGCCTGGGAAAACAGTAGAAAATGGCCCAAGTGCTTGGGCCCCTGCACCCACATGGGAGACCAGGAAGAAGCACCTGGCTCCTGGCTTCAGATCGGTGCAGCTCTGGCCATTGCAGTCATTTGGGGAGTGAACCAGTGGAAGGAAGACCTTTCTCTCTGCCTCTCCCTCTCACTGTCTGTAACTCTACCTCTCAAATAAATAAAATCTTTAAAAAAAAAATAAAAAAAGTAATAAAAGCTGACAGTTGCAGAATGTGCTTATCTACCAGGCACTATTTGAAGTACTTTGTAAAGTTCTGTGAGATTGGATTTTTTTTTTTTTTTTGGACAGGCAGAGTGGACAGTGAGAGAGAGAGAGACAGACAGAAAGGTCTTCCTTTCCATTGGTTCACCCTCCAATGGCCGCCGCGGCCGGCGCACCACGCTGATCCAATGGCAGGAGCCAGGTGCTTCTCCTGGTCTCCCATGGGGTGCAGGGCCCAAGCACTTGGGCCATCCTCCACTGCACTCCCAGGCCACAGCAGAGAGCTGGCTTGGAAGAGGGGCAACCGGGACAGAATCTGGCGCCCCGACCGGGACTAGAACCCGGTGTGCCGGTGCCGCAAGGCAGAGGATTAGTCTAGTGAGCCGCGGCGCAGGCTGGATTTTTTTTTTTCTTTTTAAGATTGTTTAATTTATTTGAAAGGCAGAGTTAGAGGGATAGGGGAAAGAGAGTGATCTTCCACCTGCTGATTCACTCCCCAGATGGCCTCCATGGCCTGCATGGGTGCTGAAGCCAGGAGGCTGGCATTCCATATGGGGCTCCCTTGTGGGTGCCAGGGATCCAAATTCATGAGCCTCCACTCCTTTCCCAAGTGTGTTAGCAAGGAGCTGGATTGAAACTGGAACATCCAGGACTTGAACTGGTGCTCATATAGGATACCGGTATCACAGGTAGCAGCTTAACTTGCTGAGACACAGTGTCTACCCTGTGAGATAGTTTCTAATACCTACCTATAATTCCTACTTTTTATAGCTATAGAAACTGATGTATAGGGGCTGGTGCTATGGCATAGCGAATAAAGCCGCTGCCTGCAGTGCTGGCATTCCAAATGGGTGCCAGTTCGAGTCCTGGCTGCTCCACTTCCAATCCAGTTCTGTGCTATGGCCTGGGAAAGCAGTAGAAGATGGCCCAAGTCATTGGGCCCCTATACCCCCATGGGAGATATGGAAGAAGCTCCTGGTTTCAGATCAGCCTAGCTCCGGCAGTTGCGGCCATCTCGGGAGTGAACCAGTAGATGGAAGACCTCCCCCACCCCTTTCTTTCTTTTTCTTTCTCTCTAATTGCCTTTCAAATAAATAAATCTGCAAAAACAAACAAACAAACAAAAAAACCAAAAAACAAAAAAAAAAAAACCTGATGCAATTTGCCATGTTTTCACATTCTCAGAGAGTAATTGCATCCCCAGATTTATCTAGATCTATGCAATTCTTTTTTATGTCTTGTTTGTGTATCAGGTTTGACTGTAGAATATCTGCATACAATCACTGAATTTTGTATTTATAAAGGATCTTTGGAGAGCTCATTTTACAGGTGGAAAATTTCAGAAATTTAGTTATCTAGTCATGTAGCTAGTTGTTGGTACAACCAGGCTAGATTCCCAAATCATGTTCTTAGATTTTTTTTTCAGATTAAGCCACAGTTCTCCTGAGAATTGACTTTTATATATAGTAGGTATTTCTTTTGTGTTATTGGATATGTTTAACTGCATCTGTGAATCTTGGCTTTAGCATTCAAAAGCTACCTTTGTGCTGCTTCAGTAACACCCATTGTTTTAGTCTGTTATCTGTTGCTATAACTGAATACCACGTACTGAATAATTTGTAAGAATAAAGTTGTATTCAGCTCATGATTCTGAAGGCTGGGAATGTGCCTGCATCTGGGAGATCCTTCTTGAAGGTAGGTGGTATAGGGTGTTAAATAGAAGGAAAACATTCCAGCTCTTCTTACAAAGCCACAGTGCCATCGAATTATGGCCCTGACTTTATGGCATCACTTAACCTTAATTATCTCCCAAAAGTCCCACATTCAAATAACATAGATGATTTCTTAGCCTCTTATTACTTACCTTACAATAGGGTTCAATTTCAACATACATTTTTTTTTAAAGATTTATTTATTTATTTGAAGAGAAGTAGAGGCAGAGAGAGAGGTCTTCCATCTGCTGGTTCACTCCCCAAATGGCTGCAATGGCTGGAGCTGGGCTGATCTGAAGCCAGTAGCAGCCAGTAGAGCTTCTTCTAGGTCTCTCATGTGGGTTCAGGGGCCCAAGAACTTGGACTGTCTTCTGTTGCTTTCCCAGGCACATTAGCAGGGAGTTGGATCAGAAGTGGATCAGAAATGGAGTAGACGGGACTCAAACCAGCACCCATATGGGATGCCAGCACTGCAGGCAGTGGCTTTACCCACTGTGCCACAATGCCAACTCCCATAAGTCTTGTTGGTGACATTCAAAACTCATGTCTTTCTTACTTACAGATAGATTTATTCCATCCCCAAAGTCTTAATTCATTCCAACATTAACTAAAAAATGGAAAATCTCAGGGGCTGGTGTTGTGGCATAGTAGATTAAGCCACTACCTGCAATGCTGGCTTTTCCACTTCCAGTCCAGCTCCCTACTAATGAATGGCCTGGGAAAAGCAGCAGAAAATGGCCCAAGTGTTTGGGCTCTTGCCACCCATGCGGGAGACTCAGAAGTTGTTCCTAGTTTTGGTCTGGCCCAGTCATGGCTTTTACAACTATCTGGGGAATGAATCAGTGGATGAAAGATCTTGCTCTGTCCCTGTAACTCTAAGACCTTGTCATCATGGCCTTCATTATTGACATTTCTGTCAGCATTTTGGTTGCAACCTCTTAGCTCAATCTCCAAGAAGTTCCAGACTTTCCCTGATCTCCTTGTCTTCTGAGCACTTGCCAGACCTGACCTTCATGCTCTTTTTATAGCATTCAATACTTTGCAGCCTGTTGCTACAAACTCTTTCAGCCTCTGGTCACTGTCCAGTTCCAAAGCCAGTTCTTCATTTTTGGGTATTGTTATAAAAGCAATTTCACATCTCAGTACCAGTTTTCTGTCTTAGTTGATTTGCTGTAATAAAATATTTTTATTATTTGCCATAATAAAATACCTGAGACTAGATGATTCTATTAAAAAAAAAGGTTTGGGGCTGGTGATGTGGCATAGCATGTTAAATTACCACCTGCTACATAACTTTATATTAAAGAAACCTGGCAAATATTACCTAGCCAGGTGATCAAATTTAGCATCTTGAGTGATAAATCATGTTTGTAGCATGTACCCTTGATATGATATATTGGGAATAGCAGTTGGTATCTGTAGTCTCCTCTTTCTTTCTCTCTCTCTCTCTTTTTTTTTTTTTTTTGACAGGCAGAATGGACAGTGAGAGAGACAGAGAGAAAGGTCTTTTCCGTTGGTTCACCCTCCAATGGCCACTGCGGCCAGGTGCTTCTCCTGGTTTCCCATGCGGGTGCAGGGCCCAAGGACTTGGACCATCCTCCACTGCCTTCCTGGGCCACAGCAGAGAGCTGGACTGGAAGAGGAGCAACCGGGACAGAATCTGGTGCCCCGACCGGGACTAGAACCCGGGGTGCCGGTGCCGCAGGCAGAGCATTAGCCTATTGAGCCGCAGCACTGGCCCGCTCTCTCATTTTTTTTTTTTTTTTAAGATTTATTTATTTACTTGAAAGTTAGAATTACACAGAGATGAGAGGCAGAGAGAGAGAGGTCTTCCATCCGCTGGTTCACTCCCAACTGGGCACAGCGACTGGAGTTGCGCTGATTTGAAGCTAGGAGCTTCTTTCAGGTCTCCCACATGGCTGCAGGGGCCCAAGCACTTGGGCCATCTTCCACTGCTTTCCCAGGTCACAGCAGAGAGCCGGATTGGAAGTGGAGCAACCAGGACTCAAACCGGTGCCCACATGGGATGCCAGCACTGCAGGCGGTGGCTTTACCTGCTACACCACAGCGCCAGCGCCATGTATTGTCTTCTTTCCAAAAACCTATTAATACAGCTTAACCATGAAAACAAATCCCATTTCTGGGACTTATATAATGTACAATTTATAAAATATCTGAACCATATTCCTCAAAAACAGGAAAGGTCTGGGAAACTGTTATAGGTCAGAAGAACTAAAAAAAAAAAAAAATGGGTAACACAAGATTATTTAGAAAACTGGCAGAAAGAGTAGGTGTTGTAGCCCAAGTGGGTTAAGCTGCCGCTTGGGCTGCCCATATTAGACTGCCAGTTTGACTACTGGCTGCCCTGCTTCTGATTCAGCTCCCTGCTTAATGCATCTTGGGAGGCTACAAAGATGTCTCAAGTGCTTGTTCCCCTGCCACCCATGTAGGAGATCTGGATGGAGTTATAGGCTTCTGGCTATGGCCTGACCCAGACCTTGCTAATACAGGCTTTTGGGAAGTGAGCCAGCAAATGGAAGATCTGTTTCTGTCTCTATTTCTCTCTGCCTTTTCAACTAAATGAAAGTAAATAAATTTTAAAAAAGAAAACTTTCAGAATGTTTCAGGAGGTAAATGATGAAGCCTCCTAATAAGGCAAAAGCAGTAGGCTCAGAGAAGAGGAAACCTTTTGAGAAATCTTTAAGAGGTTAGGATCTATAGGACTTGGAGTCTAACTGGATGAGTCTAAGTCAGTGGGAATTTAGAGATGATTCCTTATGGGTTCTAGTTTAGGTCTTGTCATTTCATAAGACAGGAGTCCAGCTGTAGAAGGTAGTATATTCATCTTGTCATGTTAAGTTGGAGGGAACTGTGGGACATCTGCTGTTGATTTCTGAACTATTTATCTAACTGCTTGCAGGATTTCAGGTCTAGAGTCTGGCTTGTAAGTATATATTGATTTTTTTAACAACAAACATTTCTATTAATTTGGATAAGTGGGTTAATTGAAGGTATCTTAAAGACTTGTTCATAAATAAAAAGAACTACAAATCAATAAGAAAAATATAACTTCATTTAAAAAAAAGCAGAAAGTCTCTAGAATAGACCCTTCACAAAGGGGGCTATTTATATGGTCAGTGCACTTTTATTTTTTTTAATTATTTTTATTTTTATTTTTTTGACAGGCAGAGTGGACAGTGAGAGAGAGAGACAGAGAGAAAGGTCTTCCTTTTTTCGTTGGTTCACCCCTCAATGGCCATCTGCTAACTCCCAGGATGCATTAGCTAGAAGTTGGATAGGAAGTGGAGGTGCTGGAATATGGGATGCTGTGTCACAGTGCCTATTTAAATACATGTATTTAAATAGCTTTATTGAAGAAGGCCAATTTTAAGTACTGAGTTTTCTGTATCATATTTGCTAAGCATTGTACTAGGCACTAGAGAAAAATCAGATGCTTTCCTAACTTAAGGAACTTAGTCCAATAGAGATCTGTAATATATATTATTTATTAACAAGTCAATCAGAAACCTACAGATTATACTCCAATAGTTAATCAGGCTAGAAAAACATCTACTAAACTGTCATGACCTATCCATTTTGCTGTCTAAAAAGACCTGGAAGAGATTCCTATGGTTAACTATGGGAGCTTGTCATCTTTCATCTAAGTGAGAATGAGATAGACACTCCTTTTTCTCACCCTCACTTCTCATTCCTCAAATTGTGTACATTGTACACACTGATTATATTTTTATTTCTAGGGCTCAGGATGAGACTGATGGTTATACTTGAATTTTCTGTACTAATGAGACTTCTGCTCACTTCCTGGGCTGCTGTGTGCATATCTGTCAAACTGGTTCTTTGTGCTTCTCATGATCATGAACCTTTTTTTTTTTTTTTTTTTTTTAAGATTTATTTCATTTGAAAGACTTACAGAGAGAGGTAGAGACAGGAAGAAAGAGAAAGAGAGAGGTCTTCCATCCTCTGGTTCGTTCACCAAATGGCTGCAATGCCTGGAGCTGAGCTGATCTGAAGCCAGGAGTCAGGTGCTTCTTCTGAGAAGCAGCTGAGACTTGAACCATCATCCATATGGGATGCTGACACTCTGCAAGCCAGGGCTTTAACCTGCTGTGCCCCAGTGCCAGACCCCTGAACATGAACTCTTAAGAGATAGGTCCATAGACAAGTATTCAAACAATGCTACGCAGTTTTTTTTTTTTTTAAAGTATACTTAAATTTTGTGCAAATGTATACCCTCCTTTTTAACATTTCTATTTCTTTTGCAGGGAGTAGCCATGACTACATGGGTGCCAGCAGCAGAATGTCACGAAGAACACATTTGTGCTCTGCTGCCACCAGTAGTTTATTAGACATTGATCCCCTAATTTTAATTCATTTATTGGACCTTAAGGACCGGAGCAGCATGGAAAATTTATGGGGTTTACAGCCTCGCCCACCTGCCTCACTTTTACAGCCTACAGGTACAGTAATAAAAAATATTCCCTTTTTTCCCTGTGGCTATCTAAAAGAACACTTGAATTTTCATCCAAATATTTCATCTAAGTTTAGTTAGAACATGGTATGTTTCCATAGAAAATTTCTTTAATTTATGCCATAAAGTGACATATCAACCAGAGTACTTTTAAAATTATTTTTCAAAAGTGTTTTGTGCAAAAACGATATAAAAATGCATGTAAGAAGGTTTTTATATGATTTGCCATGTATATTATTTCTAAATGACAGTTTGATCTATAAGAAGTACAGTTGTCCTCTTTGTGAATGGATTTACAGTGCTTTAGGTCTAATTTCCTAGTGGAACTGTGTCTAAATTGAACATAGAAAAAGACAATTTACACATTCTTTGATGTTAAGTAGTTTAAAAATGTATACCAGTTGGCAGCAGTGTTTTATATGCAAAGGTTTATGTGAGAAATTACATTTGTGTTACTATACTAAGATGAAGATTTGTGTTGTAAAATCTGGGCTTTTTGAAACTCTCAGAAAGTCATTTTGGGTGGCTAAAATTTTACCTTTTAAAAACCTTTATTTTAAAAGCCATTGTGGAAGGGCAGATGGCCTAGCAGTTAAGTACCTGAGTTTATGTCCTGGTGCTTACTCCTAATTCCAGCTTCCTGCTAATGTGGACCATGGGAGGCAGCAGGTGATAACTCAGGTAACTGGGTTCCTGCCACCTATGTGGGAGACCTGGATTGAGTTCCTAGTTCCCAGCTTTGGCAGGAGCCCTGACTGTTGCAGGTATTTGGAGCATGAACCAGTGCGTGGTAGCTTGCTCAGTCTCCTTTTTAGCTCTCAATGTGTCTCTGCCTCTCAAATAAAATAAATACACCATTTTGTTGGAATGCTTTCTAGATTATATTCAGGATATTCTTAAATTACAATGAACTTTTTCCTGCCTTATTTCTTTCTTTATTTTTATTTGAAAGAGATCTTACATCCATTGTTTCACTCATCAAATGCCTGTCACATCCAGGGCTGGACCGTGCAGAAGCAAGAAGTTGGGAACTCAGTCTGCGTCTCCCACATGGGTGGATGCAGGGACTTAAACACTTGAGCCCAGAGTGTGCATTAGCAGGAAGCTAGCATCGGAAGTAGAGCTGAAACTTGAATCTAGACAGTTCAATACGGGAAGGTGTCCCATATGGCATCTTAACTGCTCCACCAAACATCTGCCCTCCCTACCCCTTTCTTAAACAGTTGTACTATATAAATAAAACCAGTGGTTTAGAAGGTGATTTTGATGCTGCTTTACAGCAACAGAATTGATTTGTCAAAGTCTAAGTGAAACCTCTGTGTAGAAAGTAGAAATAGAATTGCTATAGCAGGGTAGGGACTTAGAGCCCAGACTTTATAGGTCTCTTTTGTAAGGTATACTTCTTTTTTTTTTTTTTTTTTTTTTTTTTTGACAGGCAGAGTGGACAGTGAGAGAGAGAGACAGAGAGAAGGGTCTTCCTTTGCCGTTGGTTCACCCTCCAATGGCCGCCGCGGCCGGTGCACTGCGCTGATCCGATGGCAGGAGCCAGGAGCCAGGTGCTTTTCCTGGTCTCCCCTGGGGTGCAGGGCCCAAGCACCTGGGCCATCCTCCACTGCACTCCCTGGCCACGGCAGAGAGCTGGCCTGGAAGAGGGGCAACCGGGACAGAATCCGGCGCCCCAACCGGGACTAGAACCCGGTGTGCCGGCACCGCTAGGCGGAGGATTAGCCTAGTGAGCCGCGGCGCCGGCCAAAGGTATACTTCTTGAAAATTTGGGTCCTCAGTTTGCAAGTCTCTTCAGTCAGGTTATCAAACAACTGGCAGTGACCAGAGCTGGGTCAATCAGGAGCTTTTTCCAGGTCTCCTGCACAGGTGCAGGGGCCCAAGGACTTGGGCCATCTTCTACTCTTTTCCCAGGCCACAGCAAAGAGCTGGATCAGAAGTGGAGCTGCCAGGATTTGAACCAGCGCCCATGTGGGATGCCAGCACTGTAGGCTTTTACTCACCTGCCACAACAGTGTCCTAGTTGTAGAATTTAAACACGGAGTTGGACATACCAGTGGGATATGAAAGTAGAAAGGCTTAGAAAACAGCTCAGAATTAAAATATGGAATGCAATTAGAACACTCATGTCTATCTTTATTCTCATTAGTGGACTTGTTTTAGAATTTATTTGAAAGGCAGAGAGAGAGAGACAGACAGACAGATGACAAAAGGCAGACATACAGACATAGACACATCGCCCATCCACTGATTGATTTCCCAAATGCCACAATAGCTAGAGCTGGGGCTGGCCAAAGCTAGGAGCTGGGAAATCAGTCTGAGTCTCACATGTGGATGGCAGGGACCCAACTACCTGAGCCATCTCCTGTTGCCTTTCAGACAGAAAACTGGAATTGGAAGCCAGAACTCAAACCCAAGCACTGTTAAAGGGGATGTATATATCCCTACTGGTATTTTAAGCACTGCACTAAACACCTGCCTCACTAATGGAGTTTAGTGCTTACTTTTATGTTAATACCATCTAAAGCATGTGAGCTTATTTTTCACATCGTATTTTTGTATTTCCGTAGTACAAAATGTTTTCATGAATGTTACAATTTATATTAATATGGTTTATCACTTTTCTTTCTGAAGCATCATATTCTCGAAAAGATAAAGATCAAAGGAAGCAGCAGCAGGCAATGTGGCGAGTGCCATCTGATTTAAAGATGCTAAAAAGACTGAAAACTCAAATGGCTGAAGTTCGATGTATGAAAACTGATGTAAAGAATACTCTTGCAGAAATAAAGAGCAGCAATGTTGCTTCTGGAGATATGCAGACAAGCCTTTTTTCTGCTGATCAGGCAGCTCTGGCTGCATGTGGAAGTGAAAGCTCTAGCAGATTACAGGATTTGGGAATGGAGCTCCTGGCAAAGTCATCAGTTGCCAGTTGTTATGTACGAAACTGTAAGTCAAAAAGTTTCTATTAGTGTCATTTCTCCACATGTAACATGAAGCTAGATGACTGGTTATTTCAGGATGATAGCATTTAAACATCTCTCTTCCAATGAGTTAAGACTACAAATACTCACTGCCTTTTTTTCCCCAAAATTGATTATATTTACTATTATGTGATAGAGATAACATTTTTTGATTGCTTACTTTCTGGCTGACAGTATACAGGACAAAATTCTTAGCTTCATGTAACTTGAATTCCAGTGATGAGATTCAGACATTAAAATGTGTAAACAGATATAGAAAAAAGTGCCATTTAGGAAACAACACAAGAATGGGATGGGGGAGCAGATAAGTGTGCTACCTTAGTTGGAAGTAGTCAGAGAAAGTTTCTCAGGGGAAGAAATATTTGAACTGAGACCTGAAGGTTGATATCTTCTTGACTCTTAAAAGATCTGCAGGAAGCTGCATCCTGGGTAAACAGAACAGAAAATGCAAAATCACTGGTACAGGATTTGCCTTGTGTGTTTGAAAGATTAAATGAATATTGGGGCTAGCGCTGTGGTGTCGTCAGTAAAGTCGCCACCTGCAGTGCCAGCATCCTATATGTCGAGTCCCAGCTGCTCCACTTCCAATCCAGCTCTGTGCTATGGCCTGGGAAAGCAGTAAAAGATGGCCCAAGTGCTTGGGCCCTTATACCCACATGGGAGACCCAGAAGAAGCTCCTGGCTTTGGATTGGACCAGTGTGGGGAGCAACTCGCACTAGACTGTTACTGGAATTAAGACTTATTCTATGCATCTGCTCTCCCACAATATGGCGCTGGGAGAGGAGTGAACAGCTTCTACGCAGCTGCCTCCAGTTCGACCAATAACCTGCAGGAGCTGATCCTGCTCCTGATTGGAGGAGAGCAGCGTACTCGGCGTGTGGGTAGCAGAGTTGGGATTGGTGGAAGAGGACTATAAAGGAGGAGAGAGACAACATGCACCAGGAACATCTATCTGAAGGAACACCTGTGCAGCCCCCGAGAGAGCCGGCCGGCGGTGTGCCGCTCCCCCGCGGAAGTGGGGAAAGTGGCAGGGGGAACCGCCCTTCCACGGAGGTGGAAGGGATGGTAGCCAACCCTGGAAGAACCAGCAGCAAACCCGGGGAGGGCCGAGCAGACAAAAGAACAGCGCAGGGTCCTGTGTCGTTCCTCCACGAAGACGGGGAGCGACAGACCAGCTCTGGCTATTGCAGCCATTTGGGGAGTGAACCAGAGGATGGAAAATCTTTCTGTGTTTTGCCTCTGCCTCTGTAACTCTGCCTTTCAAATAAATAAATAAATTAAAAAAAAAAAAGACTAGTATAGCTGAAGATGGTGAACCAAGGACAGAAAGGAGAATGGTAGATGAAGTCAGAGATCAGCAGGATCTTGTAAGACTTCAATAAGAGGTTTTGAGTTTAATTCTGATTTTAGGAGGAAGTCTTGGAGAATAAACACCAGAAGGTTGTTTATAACCTGATTTGTTCTTTTTGTTTTTTTAGTATTTTGTTTCAGTTTTACCTCAACAGACATATGGTTTTTTTTTTTTTTTTTTTTATTTGAAAGGTGGAGATAAAGAGAGAAAAAGGCAGAGGCAGAGAGAGAGAGAGAGATCTTCCATCTGTTGGTTCACTCCCCAGATGGCTACAACAGCCAGCACTGGGCCACGCTGAAGCCACGAGCCATGAGCTTTATCAGGGTCTCCCACATAGGTGCAGGGGCCCAGTGACTTGGCCCATTTTCCTCTGCTTTCCCAGACAGACTAGCAGGGAGCTGGGATGGAATGGATAAGCTGGGAGTTGAACCATTGCCCATATGGGATGCTGGCACTGCAAGTGGTAGCTTTACTTGCTACGCCACAGTGCTGACCCCATAAATAAAATCTTAACAACAAAAAAAGAAACCTCAGAAAATAACAAGTGTTTATGAAGATGTAGAGAAATTGGAACCATTGTACAGTATAGGTGGGAATATAAAACAGTACACTGCTGTAGAAAATAGTAAGGTTTGGCGCCAGCGCTGTGATGTAGCGGGTAAGGCTGCTGCCTGCAGTGCCAACATCCCATATGGGTGCCGGTTCAAGTCCTAGCTGCTCCACTTCCAATCCAGCTCTCTGCTATGGCCTGGGCAAACAGTAGAAGACAACCCAAGTCCTTGGGCCCCTGCACCCACGTGGGAGATCCGGAAGAAGCTCCTGGCTTCGGATCGGCACAGTTCCAGGCGTTGTAGCCAATTGGGGAGTGAACCAGCAGATGGAAGACCGACCAACTTCTCTCTCTCTCTCTTTTTCTCTTTCTCTTCTGCCTCTCCTCCTCTCTGTGTGTAATTCTGAATTTCAAATAAATAAATAAATCTTAAAAAAAAAAAAAAAACAGGTGAGAGCCTGCATTGTGGCATAGGCATTACGACATTACTTGTGATGGCAGCATCAGGGCATCCCATATCAGCACCAGTTTGAGTTCTAGCTGCTCCATTTCTGATCCAGCTGTCTGATAATGCCCATGGGAACGTAGCAAATAATGGTCCAAGTATTTGGACCCTGACATATGGAAGACCCGGATGGAGCACCTGGCTTCAACCTGACCTATCCCCAGCCATTGGTGGTTCATTTGGGGAATGAAACAGCAGAAGGAAGATCTGTGTTTCTGCAACTCTTTTTTTTTTTTTTTTTAATGCAGATTGAGTTTTTTTTTTCTTTTTTCTTTTTAAGAGCCATTTATTTACTTGAAAATGAAGAGAGAGTGAGAGAGAAGGGTCTTCCTTCTGTTGGTTCATTCCCCAAATGGCCACAACAGCTGGAGCTTGGCTGATCTGAAGCCAGGAGACAGAAGCCTCTTCTGGGTCTTTCCTGTGTGGGTTCAGGGGCCCAAGCACTTGGGCTATCTTCTACTGCTTTTCCAGGCCATAGCAGAGAGCTAGATTGGAAGAGGAGCAGCCAGCACATGAACTGGCACCCATATGGGATGCCGGTGCTGCAGGCAAGGATTAGCCTACTGTGCCACAGTGCTGGCCCCCTCTGTTTTTTTTATTATTATTATTAATTACCTCATTAGGTAATTAATTTTTTTACATTTTTTCTATATTTCCATAATAATAATGTGGATCTTCTTTTCTTGTGTTTATTGATCATATAAATGTCTTCTTTGGAGAAATGTCAGTTCAAGTTGTTTGCCCAATTTTAAATTATTTGGAGTGTTTTTTTTTAACTTTTTTAAAAAAAAGTTTATTTATTTATTTGAAAGTCAGACTTACAGAGAAGGAGAGACAAGTCAGAGGGAGAGATAGAGATCTTCCATTTGCTGGTTCATTCCCCAAATGGCCACAACGGCCAGATCTGGTCCAAACTGAAACCAGGAGCTTCTTCTGGGTCTCTCATGTGGGTGCAGATGTCCAAGCACTTAGACCACCTTTCACTGCTTTCCCAGGATCATTGGCAGGGAACTGGATTGAAAGTGGAGCAGCCAGGACTCAAACTGGCTCTCATATGGAATGCTGGTGCTGCAGGTGGTAGCTTTACCCACTATGCCACAGCACTGGCCTAATAGTTTATTTTTTATTGTTGAGTTTTAGGGGTTATTTATTAGAAGTATGATTTGCAAATATTTTCTTCCATTTTATGGATTGCCTTTTCTCTTGATACTGTCATTTAATTTTAAATGTTCTTAGTTTGAAGAAGTCCATTTGTATGCATTTTTTTGGTGTCATCTAAGAAAGCATTGCAAAATCAGTGTCATAAAGTTTCACTCTATTTTTTAAAAAAAGGTTTATTTTATTTATTTGAAAGGCAGAGTGACAGAAACAGAGATTTTTTTTTTTTCATCTACTTGTTCACTTTCAAAATGGCCTCAACAGCTGGGCCGGGCCAGGCCAAAGCCAAGGAGCCTGGATCTCCATCTAGGTTTCCCACATGAGTGACGGGAGCCCAAACATTTGAACCATTGCCTGCTGCTTCCAGGGCTTGCCATAGCAGGAAGCTTGAATTGAAGGCAGAACCATGGCCCGGCACTATAGCGTAGTAGGTTGAGCATCTGCCTACAGTGCTGGAATCCCATGTGGGCACTAGTTTGAGTCCCTGCTGATGGCCTGTGAAAGCAGTAGATGACCCAAGTGCTTAGGCCCCTGCATCCGTGTGGGAGACCGGAAGAAGCTCCTTGCTCCTGGCTCCAGATTGGCTCAGCTCTGGGGGCCATTTAGGAAGTGAACCAGTGGATAGAAGACCTCTCCCTTTGTCTTTCTCTCAAATAAATAAGTAAATCTTAAAAAAAAAAAAAAAAAAAAAAAAAAAGAAAGAAAGAAGGAAAGAAGGAAAGAAGGAAAGAAGAGCCAGGACTCAAACCTAAGCAATCTGATATGTGTGAGATGTGGGCATCCCAAGCATTTTATTTTTTTAAGATTTATTTTGTTATTAAAGGCACAGTTAGAGATATTCCATGTGCTGGTTCACCTATCCCCTACCCCCACCCCCACCCACCTGCCAAGTGGCCATAACTGCTAGGGCTAGGCCAGACCAAAGCCACGATCCAGGAATTTCTAGGTCTCCCACGTGGGTGTGGGGGCCCAAGCACTTGGTTCATTTTATGCTGCTTTCCAAGGCATTTTAGCAGAGGGCTGGATCAGAAGTCAAGCAGCCAGAATTCAAACCAGTGCCCACATGGGATGCCAGCATTGCAGGCAGCATCTTAACCTACTTTGCCAGATTGCCAGCCCCCTGCCTCTTTCCTTTTTAAAGATTATTTATTTACTTTTACAAGATTTATTTATTTACTTATTTGAAAGGCAGAGTTACAGAGAGGAAGAGGCACAGATAGAGAGAGATTGATTGATCTTCCATCAGCTGGAGAGAGAGAGAGACATCGATCGATCTTCCATCAGCTGATTCACTCCCCAAATGGCTGCATCTGAAGCCAGGAGTTTCTTCCGGTCTGCCCATGTGAGTGCAGGGGCTCAAGGACTTGAGCCATCCTCTACTGCATTCCCAGGCCATAAGAGAGCTGGATCATAAATGGAGCAGCCGGGACTTGAACCAGCGCCTAAATGGGATGCTGGCACTGCAGGTGGCACCTTTACCCATTACACCACAGCACCGGCACCAAGAGTATTTATTTATTTGAAATGCAGAGTCAATCACACACACATATCTTTCATCCACTGGTTCACTGCTCAAATGGCCACAATATCCATGGCTTGGCCAGACCAAAGCCAGGAGCCTGGAACTCCACCTGGTCTCCCACATGGATGGCAGGGACTCAGGTATTTGAGCCATCATTCACTGCTTCCCAGGTGCATTTTCAAGGAGCTGGGTTGGAAGTGGACTCAAACTGGTACTCAGATATGGGATGTGAACACTCCCAAGTGGTGGTTCAACTTGCTGTGCCACAACACCCATACCAAATTGCCTCTCTTTTTACCATTAAAATATATTTGATAGAAGAAAGAGAAACCGCCATCCACTGCTGCACCCCCTAGAAGCCCACAACAGCTCGGGGGCTGAAACAAGGAGCTGAGAACTCAATCCAGGCCTCCCACAGGGTAGGAGGAAGCCAGTTACTTGAGCCATCACCAGCACCTCCCAGAGTACACGTTATGGGAAGCTCGAATCAGGAACAGTGCAAGGAATCAAACCAAGTGGGATGCAGGAATCTTAACCACTAAGACAAATGCCTGCTCCAGATGTTTCTTTTTTTACTGAGTCAAAAGCTGCATAGAGGCCTGTGCTGTGGCTCACTAGGCTAATCCTCTGCCTGTGGCGCTGGCACCCTGGGTTCTAGTCCCGGTTGGGGTGCCAGATTCTGTCCCGATTGCTCTTCTTCCAGTCCAGCTCTCTGCTGTGGCCCAGGAAGGCAGTGAAACCTAGCTCTTGGCTTCGGATTGGTGCAGTGCACTGGCCGGCTGTAGCGGCCATTTGAGGGGTAAACCAACGGAAGGAAGACCTTTCTCTCTGTCTCTCTCACTGTCTAACTCTGCCTGTCAAAAAAAAAAAAAAAAAAAAGCTGCATAGAATTACATAAAATTTTTTTTGATCATATTATTTTGCTGTTACTTTATTAACATAAAGTAGGGTGAATTACATGTTTTTTTTTCTTATGCTGACCTTTTCCTGAACTACTAGAATCAATCCTACTTAGTTTTGATCTATAATTATTTTAAAATATAGTGCTATATTCAGTTTGTTAGTATTTTACTTAGGATCCCTGACATGTAGTCACAAATGAAATCTGACCCTGGAACTCAGTCTATATTTCGACATGGGTAGTAGGAACCTAAGTACAGAGTGTGCATTAGCAGGAAGCAGGATCAGAAGCACAGTAGCTGGGACTTGAACCAGCACTCTGATATGGGATGCAGGCATCCCTAGCATTGACTCAACTGCTACACCAAATGTCTACCCAAGACCTAGTTCTTATATTTGCTGGTTCATTCCTCAAATGTATGTGACAATCAGGGAGGGGTCAAGCTGATGCCATGATCCTGGAACTCAGTCCAGTTCTCCCATGCTGGTGGCAGGGACCCATGTATTTGAACCATTATCTGGCTTCCCAGGGTGTACATTAGCAGGAAGCTGGATTGAAAGTAGAGGAGCTGGCCGGCACCGTGGCTCATTAGGCTAATCCTCCGCCTGCAGCGCCAACCTGGTTGGGGCAGCGGATTCTGTCCCGGTTGCTCCTCTTCCAGTCCAGCTCTCTGCTGTGGCCCGGGAGTGCAGTGGAGGATGGCCCAGGTCCTTGGGCCCTGCCACCCGCATGGGAGACCAGGAGGAAGCACCTGGCTCCTGGCTTTGGATCAGTGCAGCATGCCTGCCGTAGAGGCCACTTTGGGGGTGAAGCAATAGAAAAAGGAAGACCTTTCTCTCTCTCTCTCTCACTGTCTAACTCTGCCTGTCCAAAAAGAAAGAAAGAGAGAAAGAGAGAGAGAGAGAGAGAGAGAAAGAAAGAAAGAAAGAGAGAGCGATAAAGAAAGAAAGAGAGAGAGAAAGAGAGAGAAGCTGATACTCACACCAGGTGCTCTGGTAAGGGATGAGGGCATCCCGAGCAAGATCTTAACTTTTGTGCTAAATGCCCACCCCTGAACATACATTTTGTTTATCTTTGGGTATATACTTAGGGTTGGAATTGCTGGGTTACATGGGAACTAACTGTGTTTAACTTTTTTTTTTCTTTTAAGATTTATTTATTTGAAAGAGTTATACAGAGAGAAAAGGAGAGGGAGGGAGAGAGGTCTTCCATCTGCTGGTTTACTCCCCATTTGGCTGCAACGGCCGGAGCTGTGCCGATCCAAAGCCAGGAGTTTCTTCCGGGTTTCCCACATGGGTGCAGGAGCCCAAGGACTAGGGCCATCTTCCACTGCTATCCCAGGCCATAGCAGAGAGCTGGATCAGAAGTGGAGCAGCCGGGACTCGATCCACAACATCCATATGGAATGCTGGCACTGCAGGCACAGGCTTAACCTACCATGTATGGTGTTGACCCTAATTAATTCATTTTAGAAGAAAGATTTATTGAGGCTGGTGCTGTGGCGCATCGGGTTAAGGCCCCAGCCTGCAATAGTGAACTCAATCCTGGTATCCTGTGTGGCTTGTATGAATGGAATTACTTGAGCCATCATCATTACCTCCTGAGTCCAGAAATCAGGAGCCAGAGCTTTGCATGAAATCCAGGCACTCTGATCCAGGATGCACAGATCTTAATCATTAGGTTCAACGCCTGTCCCTGTAGGTTATATTCTTTTTAAAAATATTTATTTATTTATTTATTTATTTGAAAGTCAGAGTTACACAGAGAGAGGCGAGGCAGAGAGAGAGAGAGAGAGGTCCTCCATCTGCTGGTTTACTCCCCAGCTGGCTGCAACAGCCAGGGCTGCACCAATCCAAGGCCAGGAGGAGCCAGGAGCTTCTTCTGGGTCTCCTACGTGGATGCAGGGGCCTAAGGACTTGGACCATCTTCTGCTGCTTTCCCAGGCCATAGCAGAGAGCTGGATTGGAAGTCAAGCAGCTGGGTCTCTAACTGGCACCCACATGGGATACAGGCACTGCATTCGATGGCTTAACTCGCTATGCCACAGCACCGGCCCACAGTTTATATTCTTGATAGTTTAATTGAATTGAAGTTGGTATAATTTTTCTGATGGTATTCATAAATAATTAAGTTTCTGCTCCACCAGCCACAAAGAAGGGAATACTTTTGTCTTAAAACCTCAAATAAGCCAGTGGGGCCTACAGAGTGTTCTGTTAATTTTTTTTTTTTTTTAACACAGTAGACAGATCAGTTTCTGAGCATGGTTAAACTTTTTTCTGACTGAATTTTGAGTTTCATGCTATTTGATCATATTCAACAATGTTTTTAAATGTGTTTGCAGCCACAAATAAGAAGAGTAATTCACCTAAGCCAGCTCGGTCCAGTATAGCAGGTAGTCTATCACTTCGAAGAGCAGTGGACTCTGGGGAAACCTGTCGTTCAAAGGGAGACTGTCACACTCTATCTGAAGGTAAATTTTGGGGATGTTCAGAATGTCATTTCAATGGGTAGGTTTCTTTTACTGGAAACTAGTGTTCACAGTGTCAGCTTTAGACCTTAGAAGGCACCAAAAATGCTGAAATTTAGTTTGGAAGTTTTTTGATCTCACAATAGAATAGAACCTTAAGAAAATAAACCCATTAGCTTCTTAATTTTTATACCGGGCATCAAAAAGACAGATATATTTTAAAACTGGTTTTGAAACAATTATTTTGAACCCTAATGTAGTTCTAAAATGTATATAGAATGAAATTTCCTAATCTGAGAGAACTTTAGTGTGTGTTTGCCTTCTTTCTGAATATCCTTGTTCTTTTCCTGAAGGCTCCCCAGGAAGCTCTCAGTCTGGGAGCAGGCACAGTTCTCCCCGAGCCTTGACACATGGTATTATCAGTGATATTGTGCCCAAAACAGAAGAACGGCAGTGTAAAGCTTTGGATTCCCGTGCTGTTGTGGTTGCAGTTTTCAATGGCCTACCTGCTATAGAGAAAAGGAGGAAAATGGTTACTTTGGGGTAAATTAAATTATTTTATTTATGTAATGGGATAATAACTAATAGCTTTGTTTGAAACTTTTTCTCCATCATAATAAACAAAGTCTCTGCTTTATTAGCAGGCAGAAAGTTGATTTTTTTTAAAGCTTTTATTTAATGAATGCAAATTCCATAGGTACAACTTTAGGAATATAGTGGTTCTTCCCCTCATACCCACCCTCCCACCCCCACTCCCATCCCCTCTCCTACTTCCTCTCCCATCCCATTCCTCATTAAGATTCAATTTTAGGCCTGTGCTGCGGCTCAATAGGCTAATCCTCTGCCTGTGGCGCCAGCACCCCAGGTTCTAGTCCCGTTCGGAGTGCCGGATTCTGTCCCGGTTGCTCCTCTTCCAGTCCAGCTCTCTGCTGTGGCCCGGGAAGGCAGTGGAGGATGGCCCAAGTGCTTGGGCCCTGCACCCGCATTTAAACCAGGAGGAAGCACCTGGCTCCTGGCTTCGGATCAGCGTGGTGTGCCGGCCGCAGTGTGCTGGCTGCTGCGGCCATTGAAGGGTGAACCAATGGAAAAGGAGACCTTTCTCTCTGTCTCTCTCTTTCACTACTGTCCGCTCTGCCTGTCGAGAAAAAAAAAAAAGATTCAATTTTAATTAACTTTATATACAGAAGACCAACTATTCTAAGTAAAGATTTCAACAGTTTGCACCCACCCACCCACCCACACACACACACAAACGTAAAAAGTACTATTTTAGAACAAGCTTTGCAGTCAATTCTCATAGTACAACTCATTAAGGACAGTGGTTCTACATGAGGAATAAGTGCACAGTGACTTCTGTTGTTAATTTAACAGTTAACACTCTTATTTATTAAGACGTCAGTGGGCCGGCGCCATGGCTCACTTGGCTAATCCTCCGCCTGTGGTGCCGGCACCCTGGGTTCTAGTCCCAGTTGGGGCGCCGGGTACTAGTCTCAGTTGCTCCTCTTCCAGTCCAGCTCTCTGCTGAGGCCCGGGAGGGCAGTGGAGGATGGCTCAAGTGCTTGGGTCCCTGCACCCACATGGGAGACCGGGAGGAAGCACCCAGCTCCTGGCTTCGGATCGGCGCAGCGCCAGCTGTGGCGGCCATTTCGGGGGTTAACCAATGGAAGGAAGACCTTTCTGTCTCTCTCTCACTGTCTGAAACTCTCTCTCTGTCTCTCTCTCTCTCTCACTGTGTAACTCTCTAACTCTGCCTGTCCAAAGGAAAAAAAAAAAATGTCAGTGATCACCTGAGGCTCTTGCTATGAACTGCCAAGGCTATTAAAGCCTTTTGTGACCACAAACTCCATCAGTATTTAGACAAGGCCATAAGCAAAGTGGAAGTCCTCTCCTCCCTTCAGAGAAAAGTACATCCTTCTTTGATGGCCCTTTCTTTCACTTCTTTCACCAACAGAGATCCTTCAGGTAGGATATTTTTTGCCACAGTGACTTGGCTTTCCATGCCTGAAATGCTCTCATGGGCTTTTCGGCCACATCTGAATGCCTTAATGGTTGATTCTGAGGTCAGAGTGTTATTTCAAGTGATTGTCATTCTATGAGTTTGCTATGTGGATTGCTTCCCATGTTGGACATTCCCTCCTTTATAATTCTATTATTATTACCAGGCACTTGAAGCTATTTATATGATCTCTTATAACACTCAATCATATCCTCATATTCACTTCAGCACTTAATATGATCACTTCAACAATTAAGATGGCATTTTTACCATCAATTTTAATGGAATTTGGAGTCTCATGACAAGTAGGAAGTTGATTTATTGCATTAAAGTGTAACTAATACCATAGATCTTACTTTTTTTTTTTTTTAATGGGATGAAATAGTACCAGAAGCTCAGTTTAAATATGTTAGAACAAAGGGGAGGGCAGATAGTTCTGTGGTTAAGATGCCATTTGAGATGCCTGCATCCCATATCAAGAGACGCTGGGTCAAATCCTAGCTCCTCTTTTTTTTTTTTTTTGGACAGGCAGAGTGGACAGTGTGAGAGAGAGAGACAGAGAGAAAGAGAAAGGTCTTCCTTTTCCGTTGGTTCACTCCTCAATGGCCACTGCGGCTGGTGCTTTGGCTGGCGCACTGCGCTGATCTGAAGCCAGGAGCCAGGTGCTTCCTCCTGGTCTCCCATGCGGGTGCAGGGCCCAGGTACTTGGGCCATCCTCCACTGCCCTCCCGGGCCACAGCAGAGAGCTGGACTGGAAGAGGAGCAACCGGGACAGAATCCACTGCCCCAACCGGGTCAGCGCCGCAGGTGGAGGATTAGCCTATTGAGCCACAGTGCCGGCCCTAGCTCCTCTTTGATTCCAGCTTCCTGCTAATGCTTGCTCTAGAAGGTAGAACGTGATGACTCAAGTACTTTGCTTCTTGCCATCCACATGGGAGACCCATGTAAATTGAGTTCCTTGCTTGTGGCTGTAGCCTCACTCCATACTTTCTGTTGCAAGCATTTGGGGAATGAACCATTGAATGGAAAGTACCTCTCTCTGTTTCTCTTTGCATCTGTCTCTGTGTCTCTGCCTTTGAAATAAATAAAAATTAAGTAATTAAGAATTATGGTAGAGTTCATTTTCAGTGAATGTAAGGTAACAGTGATATATTACCTGTGTTTATTTTTCCTTGTGAGATACCTGTTTATCAACTTTAAAAAAAATTCTCTCACTTTTGTGTGTGTGTGTGTGTGTGTGTGTTTTAAAGATTTATTTATTGATTTGAAAGAGTTACAAAGAGGCAGAGGCAGAGAGAGAGAGAGGTCTTCTATCTAATGGTCTTCTATCTCCCCAGATGGCCACATGGCTGGAGTTGAACCTATCCAAAGCCAGGAGCCAGGAGCTTCTTCTCATTCTCCCATGTGGGTACAGGGATTTCAAAAATTGGGCCATCTTCTACTGCTTTCCCAGGCCATAGCAGAGAGCTGAATCAGAAGTTTAGCAGCCAGGTGCTGCGGCTCACTGGGCTAATCCTCCTCCTGCGGCGCCGGCACTCTGTTCTAGTCCTGGTTGGGGCGCCGGTTCTGTCCCGGTTGCTCCTCTTCCAGTCCAGCTCTCTGCTGTGGCCCGGGAAGGCAATGGAAGATGGCCCAACTGCTTGGGCCCTGCACCTGCATGAGAGACCAGGAGGAAGCGCCTGGCTCCTGGCTTCAGATAGCCGTGGTGCGCCGGCTGTGACGGCCATTTTGGGGGGTGAACCAGCGGAGGGAGGACCTTTCACTCTGTCTCTCTCTCTCACTGTCTAGCTCTGCCTGTCAAAAAAAAAAAAAAAAAAAAAAGTTTAGTAGCCAGGGCTTAAACCAGTGCCCATATGGGATGCTGGCACTGCAGGCAGCAGCTTTACCCACTATGCCACAGCACCAGCCTCGTGTGTGTGTTTTTTTAGAGATTTACTTTATTTATTTGTAAGGTAGAGTTACAGAGAGAGAGATCTTCCATCTGCTGGTTCACTCCCAAATAGCCACAACAACCAGGGCTGGACCAGGCTGGAGCCAGGAGCCGGGAGCTCCATCCAAGTCTCGTGTGGGTGTAGGGACCCAAGTGGTTGGGCCATCCTCTGCTGCTTTCCCAGACTCATTAACAGGGAGCTGGATTGGAAGTGGAGCAACCAGGAATCAACCCAGTGTGCATATGGGATGCCAGTGGTGCAGGTGGCAGCTTAACCAACTACACCACAACACTGGCCCTGTGTTTCCTACTGTTGAAAGACATTAATGTTGGCCGGCGCTGCGGCTCACTAGGCTAATCCTCCGCCTAGCGGCGCCGGCACACCGGGGTCTAGTCCCGGTCGGGGCGCCGGATTCTGTCCCGGTTGCCCCTCTTCCAGGCCAGCCCTCTGCTGTGGCCAGGGGAGTGCAGTGGAGGATGGCCCAGGTGCTTGGGCCCTGCACCCCATGGGAGACCAGGAGAAGCACCTGGCTCCTGCCATCGGATCAGCGCGGTGCGCCGGCCGCAGCGCGCTGGCCGTGGCGGCCATTGGAGGGTGAACCAACGGCAAAGAAAGACCTTTCTCTCTGTCTCTCTCTCTCTCACTGTCCACTCTGCCTGTCAAAAAAAATTTAAAAAAAAAATTAAAAAAAAAAAAGAAACATTAATGCTGGCTACATTATGTCACAATTGTGTCACACCTATCTTTTTTGTGGAACAAAACACTTAAAGGAATTTTAACACTACTTGTCTGCTTTTATCTCACCTTTTTTTCTCTCATTGATAGTATCCTCAAAGCTTATTGTGAAATATCCCAGAAACATATACTTGTATGATAGTTGACATGTACACCATAAAAGTTAAACTGAAACTCAAACTGTAGCCATGCTATTGAGAGTTTTATCCATTTTAAATATTGAGTGATTATAGAATGTGATTGAGTGATTATAGAATGTGTTATCTATCTATAGAATGGCTAGAGGAGCCATTAATATCCTTATGCTAATCTGTTTTTTGAGTTTTTTTTTTTTTTTTTTTTTTTTTGATAGGCAGAGTGGACAGTGAGAGAGAGAGACAGA